GCCCCCCCCGCCGCCGCAGCGGGCCTGGGGCTGGGGGCTGTCCCGAGGGCGGCGGAGAGAACGGCGGTGGCCGCGTGGCCCGGCCTCTGCCCTCCCCGCCCCAGCTCGCCGTCCTTTCTGGCTCCTCGGAGCTTGAAACTCCAAAAGGCAGGCGGGACCAGGGCGAGCGGTGTGTCTCAAGTACTTGGGAGGCGGCGGTTTGGGAAGAAACTTGCCCGTCTAGCTTAGAGTCGCATTTCCTTGTGTCAGATAAAAACAGCACTTCAAAGAACGAGGTGGGAGCCCAAAGTAAGCAAAACCGATTCCGCCCCAGCCCGGTCTGCCTCTGCCCGGCTTGGTGTGGGTGGGCGAGCCCGGGAGCGGGCCTGGGCAGGGCACCGAGGACGAGCTGCGAGCCCAGCCCCCCAGACACCCCCTGCCCAGCCACCCACCGCACCCCGCTGGGAGGCTTTGTGGGGTCGGCCAGTCCTGAAAGGCATTCAAGGACGCTGACATAGCAAGGCGCTGACAGTAGCAAGGCGTCTTTAGTCTCTCTGAGCGCTCTTTTCCCAGGTTTGTACACCAAGAATTTGGAGGAGTATTTTTAGTTCCTTCCGGCTGAGCAGTTTACAATTGCTTTTCCCCACTTGTGGGAGTCCCGACACCCTCCTCTGTCCTAGGAGAACAAAATGCATCCTGTGACTTCCAATCTTTACCCTGGAATCAGTAGCGGCTTCCACTGAAGCTGGGCTTCAGGGGTCTCCCATCCCCACCACCCCCGGTTCAGCCAGAACTCTCAGATGGGCTGAGGTGTTTGCAAACCCCTGGGCACCCTTTAAAGAACAATGCAGTCCGAGGAGGAGGCCACTCCTGCCGCAGGGTAGATGGGGTCCCAGGTGCACTTGATCCCCAGGCCTCCAAGTGGCCAAGGCCAGCCCAAACAGCAGGGCGCTGTCTTTCCCTCCCCGGCTCTGGGTGAGGAGCTAGCTCAGCCCAAGAGACAGGAAAACCTGTCCTCGGTGGGTCCCCTCAGGCGCCCTGTGTATCCATCTTCGCCTTTGCACACACTGTCTCTGGCGGGCTGTGCTCCAGGGCTTTGGTTGTTATCTGTGTCCTTCATTCCTCCAAGGCAGCCCGTCCTTGCAAAACCCTCGCTTTCCCTGCAGTTTGCCAGGCTTTGAGCTCTGCGCAAGGTTTAAGTCCAAACAAACAAAAAAAAAGCCATCTCCCAGTGGCGGCAAACCTGTGGTACGTACCTTATTTGTTTTTCTTTTGAGACACACAATGTTAATGTATGAGTTGTTTTTTCTAAACTCAAACCTCAGTGTTCAGATTTCCTCACAGTGTTGACACTGTGTGACAAGTTAGTGGTTTGGGGTTTGCAGTTGGGGCACTCCGTCCCTAAGAGGTTCGCCATCGCCGCAGCGTGTGCTTCAGACGGAAGCTACTGAATGAGGGTTCTTCACTTAACTCAGGAAGAGACTCGGCCCGATTTGCCCCTTCAGGCCAGGGCTGCGCGGTGTGCAGGCGGGCGACGGAGTCAGGGAGGGGGCCTTGGGCGCAGGGCCTCGGGGGCAGGGCCTCATGCCCTGTCCTACACTGCTCAGTCAGGAGCTCAGGCTGAAATTTACCTTGACAGTGTCCCTCCCACAGCTCGGGAAAGCACTTGCCCCGTGACTGCTGCCACTGTCCGGAGCTGATGGGTCAGGGCCTGCGCATCTCAGGCAGTGCCCAAGTCCCCAGGCCACTGGCCACTTACGCTGACCACAAGGACCGGCCCAGCACTCCAGCCCTCAAATCCCAACAGGAGGCAGAAGTGGGGGAGCTAGGCTTGGAAGATGGTGGGAGGGATTTGGGAGTCTGGCGGGCACCCCAGTGGGCAGAGCAGACCTGCGATGACAGGGCTGTGGGCACCCCGGGGGAACATGGTTGTTCATGGACCTGCTGCCTTTCTATTCGCAGCATAGTGAGGAGCCTGTAAGTGCCAGCTTCCTGCTGTTTTCTTGGGGTGCGGGGTGACTGGGGAGTGCCTCAGTCTGTCTGCTGTTGCCATAGCAAATACCTGAGACCAGGTAACTTATGAAGACAGAAGGTTCCCTTGCTCCAGTTTGGAGGCTGGAACTCCCTGGAGAGTCTTCTTGCTATGTCATCACCGTGGCAGAGGACATCAGTTTTGCTGGCTGGAGTCCTCCTCCTCTTATACAAACACCAGGGCCACCCTAGGGACCCCACCCTCATGACCTCATCTTCCCCAGTTGCCTCGCAACAGGTCTTCCTCCAAGCACCACAGCATACAGATCTGGGGACTCAGCCGCCTGTGCAGGGACTTTGGGGAGTGTGGCACTTAGGCCATATCAGGGAGTACAGCTCCACTTCCGTTCCGCCTGGGTGTGCTGGCCTCACACGGACGCGGGGAGAAGGGCCTGAAGCCCAGGATGGGTTGTGGCATGCTGGCTGGGCTCTTGATTCTGGTGGTGGCTGTCACCTTAGTGTTACCACATGATCTGCCCGCATTGGGCATGGTGGGCTTTTCCTTCTGTCTTTCCTCCTTTTTTCCTTCTTTCCTTCCTTCCCTGCTTTTCCTTCCCTCCCTCCCTTCCTCCTTTCTTCCCTTCCTCTCTTCCTTTTTTGGTTACTTACTAATCACATTCAAAAACTGAGTTTCTACCCTTGTGGAAACTGAGGCAGAGCAGTGTGCACACAGGTGAGCATGCACAGGGCAGAGGGGACCGACAGACATACTGCTGGGCTCCAGATGGGAAGGGACAGGTCCCAAGAGAAATGGGGTGGCACGGCCCGGGCGTGAGCGCCCGAGGAATCCGGCCCCACGTGGTCCCCAAAGGTACCCGCTGTGGCGCCTGAGAGCCCAGTGGGGTGGGTGCTGCGGGTCCCTTCCCTCCAGGGCATTGGTGGTGGCTCAGCAGACAGACAATGCAGGCACAGGCAATGAGTAAGCCGCTCCCAGGGAGGGACATATGGAGGAAATAAATCAGGGCGGTGAATGGAAGGCTTGGCAGGGGAAGTGGCCCTGGGCGCTGCCTGTGAGGCGGAGGTGTGGATGCGGGGACAGGGTGAGGGCGCTGGCACTGGCAGCCTCTTCTTTCTCTGGCTCGAGCAGGGATTCTCAGCCGGGGGGAGGACCGGAGGGAGGAGCTTGGGATGAGCTCCCAGACTGGAAAGGCCGCCTCGGTGGAAATTCTGTGCTCAGCATCCTCAAATGTCCATTGACGATTTGTTGCCTGATGTTTGTGTGACTTTTCTCCGGCCGTGCTCGCAGGACAGGTGTGGCTCACCCAGGGCTGGGGCATTGCTGCCGAGGATGACGAGGACAAAAAAGCAAAAGAGCCGGGGGATTTGCCCTGTGTCAGTCCAGGGCTGGACGGGCTGTGTGAGCGAGGGATGGAGCCAGGGAGTGGGGGCCATGGGGAGCGGGTCCTCGGAGTGCAGGAGGTGGGAACATTTCACCAAAGTGGCCAAGCTGGGACTTGGGGAAGACCCCCACCTTCCAGATGGGCCCCAGGCAATTTCAGCCACCAGATGGGCTTTTCTTATAAAGCACTGTTGTCTCCCAGCTATTAACATTACCGCAGCCCCTCTTCTTGGCAAAATATATTCCCAGACCCCCTTGGAGCCAGGAACCAAGAATAGTGCCAAACTTGCTGGAGGCTGCGTGTCTCTCCATATACACATCGCTATGATAAAGTTTACTTCATACATTAGGCACGATGAGAGATTGACATCAACGACTTGCGCTCAGATGGAATAATTACCACAATACATTTGAATAAGTTATAGGACTGCGGCCTCTGTCTTGATTGTATTGGACCTACGCTTTTAAAAAAATAAAAGAAGGAAAACATTAACAGACATAGCATAATAATAGCATAAGAACAATACAAACAGAACAGAGTCACAGACAAAGTTGTAGGAAATTAACCATGGTTGTTGTATTACTTATTGATATTTTCAAAGTGGTTCCTCAGGAAAAGAAATAGAGATATACAAGATTGGTAAAACAAGTAATGATTAACTGTTCCTTCCT